ATTAACACATGTTATACCGCACCACATAAACACAATCAAGCTTAGAAAAAAAACACTGAACCACCCCTTTAAATGAGAGTGATAACCCTGTCCTAACCAAGGGTTAGTAATCACATATAGGCAAACACAGACAGCAAATTACTCTCATATTTATATTCACAAAACTCATAGCGAGTTGTACTGTCCTTTGGTTATCTTAGCCAGAATCCATTAGATGATTATAGTCTTTCAGACTCTTTGCAGTGACACTCCACATAAAGACACTCGCAAATGTGTCTCAAGAGAGAAAACAGGGCCTTGTTTTTTCCATGAAGCACATGCTAACTGAAGTCTTGTGTGCTACTCTGTTTCTTTTCCTCCTGCCACTTTTAGATTGTGCTAGGAAAGATAAGTTTGTTGATGCTAAAATAAACTAGCTCACTGGTGAGTTTCAAAAGTGCCATATGAGACAAAGAGCAGGGGCTTTTAAACTGGTAGTAGGCGGTTCAACTTCTGCAGAAAAGAAAAGAAAACAAAAAAAGAATCATAATAATATAAATGATTAGAACAATGACATTGACTACATAAAAGCTAATTATTTAATTCTGGAAACAACATGATGCTTTTATAATATCTTTGTTAACATTTTGCACACACAGTATAAATGCATCTTTATACATGAATAATGAAAAATAAATATACATTTCTATTTAAAGGTTTTAATTGATGTTTTATTCAAGTCCCCATGAAATCAAAATTAAAGTTTTTTGGGTGTTAGTATCAATATGTTAGTCTTAAGGTTATCTATAAGGCAGTGTGTGCCAAAACAGTGACAAAATTCGCATTTAGAAGATATAAGCATTCAAAGCTTGCAGTTCGTCACTTCCGCCAAAACGGCTCAATGATTTTTTTGACGTCACATCGTACTTCACAAACTTTCTGTCCAATCAAATGCTCTCTAGAATCTGAAAAGCCCGCCCCCTACACTATAAAATAGATGCTGAAGCCACGGCTGAAATCCCTTCTTTCTTTGCATGAACATTTGGGCGGGGTTATGCAAATCTTCCCACATTGTGACGTAGACATGTGGGGGTGTGTTAGAATGAGTGTGGTTGACTCTTAACTTTTATAAAGAATATCTCTTTGGATTTGAGACTTTAGTCTTTGCAACTTTACAGATCTTCTTCATGCACCAAGAGCTTGTAACACTCCAAAGAGAAACGTAAAATTTAAAGTGCATCATATGACCCCTTTAAGCTAGGGATGGCTGATGCGAAACTAACGTTTCGACACGGTGTCGAGATCCCGAAGCGCAGATGTTTCGAAACACTGCTCCGAAGTGTGATTCGAAACACCCATGTCTCGTGACTAAGGCGAATCAAAGCATTGGGGCGTTTCACAAGTGTCTCACCGCAGCAAAGCCTCACTCGCTTCCCGCTTCGGCTCAACCTTTCACCATGGCTCTCCAGCTCTTGTAGCAGACGCTAGCGCGAGGCCGCCTCCGCTAGCGACGCAGGCCATGTTGCAAATTAATTTTTAGGTAAAGTTGCTAAAAGGCAGGTCGTTTTGTTGCTAAAAGTTGTTAAACGACGTTGTGACAAAAGGATGTTGATGTCAATTTGTAACCATGACGCAAACTGCATAGAATACACAAAGACATTACTCAGATTTTCTGAAAAAGCATTTTTACCTGTATTTTAAATTACACATTTCACTCAGATAAACGGATGAAAAAGATTGATTTTCGAGAAAATAAGTTCAACTATGTACCTAAATGATTAACGATTATAGGCACAAACTAACAACTAGGTTTATCATAAAAGAAACTATTATTATTGAACAAGTGCAACTAACAACCTAATTCACATGTGATGTGAGTATTGCTAGGCACCTCTCTCCAACTCTCTAGCCAACGTGCCGCTTGGCTAGCTTTTCAATACTTTCTTCTTTGGGTGGTTAAGAGGAAAATGCATGTCTTTTTAACATTTAATAACTTTTTAAATATGCTAAATGTTGCCAAATACATTTTTAAATAGGTAAATTCGTTACTATGTGCTTTGGAAAACCAGTTGCTAGGGTAGTCTGAGAAATTGCTAAATCTAACAACAAATTGCTAAATCAGCAACACCGCAGGCTACTCGGCCATTTCAGCATTTCCCGTCAAATGTCACAAACCACTCCACTTTCCCACTGCCTACAGCTAAAGCAGCTGAAGCAAGCGTGAGGCTGCCTCCACTTGCAACACAAGCCCTTACATCTCAGTCTTTCCCGCTGCTACTTTTGACCGTTTCATTTTCAGAGACCTCCAGCCCCCATAGCAAACGCTAGCGTGAGGCTGCCTCCGCTAGCAGTGCAGGCTACACCGGTTCTTCAGGACTCCCTTCCCGTGGCCTACAGCTACAGCAGGTGAAGCAAGTGCGAGGCTGCCTCCGCTTGCAACACAGGCCCACACATCTCTGTTTTTTTCCTCCCGCTACTAATAACCCCTTTGTCCTCTTCAGTGGCCTCCAGCTCCCATAGCAGACACTAGCGTGAGGCTGCCTCAGATCGCAACACAGACCAACACATCTCTTTCTTTTCCTCCATTTTTTTCTCTTACGCTTCTCTCAGTTTCCCACCTCAAGCCCCAGAGGCCGATATTAAGCGTGAGGCTGCCTCCCCCCACAATTGCGGCCCCTGCTCCTCTCCCTCACAGCTTTCTACTTCATTTAAAATCACAATATTCTCATTTATAGCAACATCACGCCCGTCCCACCAAATGCTGTTACCTCAGGGCCACCTCCAGTGGCTCACAACATTCGAGCTCAGACCCTGGCAGGTGCGGACATAGACCCCTCATCTAAGGCCGTCACCAATGATTAATTGGGTAACAGAGTTATCGGTTGATTATTCTGATGATTAATCGGATAATTATAATTTATATTTATGGTAGAAAAATAGGCCTAATTAAAAGCTAAACCTAAAATACATACATAATAGCAATGAGGCCATAATAATTGGTTCAAATAAAGTATCAAAAGCAAGTAACAATATGGTTCTGTTGAACAAAACTTAACATAATGTATTATAAACAATATATATAACTAGTTATGATTAATTATTCATATTTCCCCTTTGAGCTGATTCGCTACATTACGTTCAGCCATTTCACTGAAATAATCTGTTCAGCTTTCCCCCATTTGGCGGCATGAATTAAACGAGGGTTCATGATAAGCCCTTTTACCGGCGAGGCTCACCCATCTGATGCCGTGAGTATTGAATTCCCTTCAGATGCTGCGAGAGCCTCCCGGTCGAGCAAACCTTGCCTTTCTATCAGACTACCGGCGAAGCTTACCTGTCCGATGCCGTGAGTATTAAACTCCCATCAGATGCTGCAAGAGCCTTCCCGGTCGAGTGAATATGTTTTCTTTCAACTACCGGTGAGGCTTACCCGTCCGTGCCGTGAGTATTGAACTCCTGTCGAACGCTGCAAGAGCCCTTCCGGTCAAGCAAATCTTGGCCTTTCCGTCCGACTACCGGCGAAGCTTACCCGTCCGATGCCGTGAGTATTGAACTCCCGTCAGATGCTGCAAGAGCCTTCCCAGTTGAGTAAATATGTGTTCTTTCAACTACCGGTGATGCTTACCCGTCCGTGCCGTGAGTATTGAACTCCCGTCGAACACTGCAGGAGCCTTCCGGTCCAGCAAATCGTGGCCTTTCAGTCCGACCACCGGCGAAGCTTAGCTGTCCAACGCCATGAGTATTGAACTCCCGTTAGATGCTGCGAGAGCCTTCCCAGTTAAGTGAATATGTGTTCCTTCAACTACTGGTGACGCTTACCCGTCCGTGCCGTGAGTATTGAACTACCGTTGGATGCTGCGAGAGCCTCCCGGTCGCACAACCCCGCCTTTTCTGTCTGTCTACTGGCGAGACTTACCTGTCCGATGCCGTGAGTATTGTTCTCCCATCAGATGGCGAGGCTTACCCATCTGATGCAGTGAGTCTTGATCTCCCGTCAGATGTCGGCGACAGTTCTTCCGGTTGGGTTTCTATACTTGCCGCCCGCAAGCGAGACTTATCCATCCGATGCGGTGAGTCTTGATCTCCCGTCGGATGTCGTGAGAGTCCTACTTGCCGGACGGCCCAAAGCCTTTTAACCTTGCCAAACCGAAAGGACCCACACGTCTGTCTTCCTGAGTCTTGATCTCCAGTCGGAGGCTTCATGGGCCCTCTCTGTCAGCCATTTATCCTTAGTCTGGCGGCTGTCCTTTGCTCAATTGCTTTTTGGGGGGTACTCTAGGTTCGGGCCATTCCCGAGCTCGGAGCCCTTCCCCGGACAGCACGCCAAATATGCATTACCATACTTCAGCTAATTATATGTAAGTGTGAACTCGTGAAATGTTTTTAAACCATAAAAAGAGTTATATTGTGAAATACAATCACTATTTAAAGTAACTGATTTCCATTTTAATATATTTAAAAATGTAATTTATTCCTGTGATGACTAAGCTGAATAAACAAATTAATTTTGTTCAAAATAAGAAAACCGTTCTGACCCCAAAGGTTTGAATGGTAGTGTATATATATTTGGAATATATCATAGAGTATGATATATATTCAACTGAGACTGAAAGAGAGGAAAAGAAAGTGTCATTGAGGAAGGAGAGGTTTAGAGAAGAAACGGTGGATAGAGAGCGAGAGAGTAGAGAATAAATGGAGAGGAAGGCAAGTGGCACATTAGGGCGGGAGATCCTGTGGTGCAGCTTCAAACAAAAAGGCCCACTATGAGGGAGAGCACTGATTACCAGTCTGGTGGTTGGGCCTCATTAAATCCTTTCTCTCTGTCATTCCCTCTTCCTTTCTGAACCTCACACACTTCTCACCTCCTCTTCAGCCTCCCAGCCATATGTCCCCAGGTACAAAGAGCAAGCACAGGATAGATCAGAACCAGAAAAATCCATGTCTCCTGCAAACTCAGTCCTGCAGAGCCACACAAAAAGAAGCAGCAGAACTAGAGAGAGAACAAAAAGAGTGATTAGACAACATTTCATATATCAGGACTTTTTGCGCAGCTCGTCAGTGAACAACGGCTCTGTGTAGTTAATGCTGCTCAATGTGAAAGCCCGCAGGTGATGGAGATTTACCGCTGATTACAGAACCGGCTTTACTGATAAGATGCGCGTTAAATATCGCATGCGATTTATCGTGCAGCCCTAATCAGGACATCTTGTGTGCACCACTTAAAGTGCAATTGCAAATGCTGGAAGCGACAAGTAAAACCGTTTAGTTAATATCGCTTATCTCTACATCATTACACAGACTATGAGAGGAGAATATAATAATATAATTATTATAATATGTATAAAATATTACTGATCCCACATCTGAAACTGCCGAAAGGGAGATATTCCTGTTCTTTCTTCAGGAATCACACTAGTATGGAGTCTCAAAGCATTATTAAAATGATATTAAATAGATCTTTATGGGCTGTTTGACTGCCAAACATTACCTTGAGTATAACAAAGTCCTGTGCTAGGATATAGTCAAATGTATTATTTTTGTTCATCATGACAAATAAAATAAATATGCACACACAAACACATTTAAATATAGGCCTACATAACATAACTGTCACAGAGTCATCAGGCAGATCCTTCATCTCCACCCACTCATGGGTGAATCACCAGAATTCTGATGCACTTCACCTGCAGCACCAATCAGTCACAGTATAAAGCCACCTTCCCATCACCACCTCAGTGTCTGGTCTTATCGTTCACTAGTGTGCTTCAACTTTCCTGTCTACTTATACCTGCTCTACCTACCTGTTCATCTAGTCCAGGGGTAGGCAAGTTCGGTCCTAGAGAGCCGCAGAGGTCAGCTCCAACCCTGAAAACAAAACTCACCTGCCTATAGCCTTAGTAATCCTGAAGACATTGATTATCTTGTTCAGGTGTGATTGATTAGGGTTGGAGCTGAACTCTGCAGGACTGCGGCTCTCTAGGACCGAACTTGCCTACCCCTGATCTAGTCCATTCCAGTCGTCTACCATCATCTTCTGTCTTCCTCCCAGCACGCTGACTCCGCCTCACCCTGCAAAGAAACCTCAGTGACTGTTCAGTCCTAGCTCAAGATTATCTGCTTATTAACTCACCTTTGATCATCGCTTGCTCCTCTCCTGAAGCCTGTAAATAAACTCTGTTAGATGGTCATTTACCTGTGTTGTCTCCTTCTGTTTGCAATAACATAACATATAACATAAAATAACATAACATAGACTGTTTTGTTATTGTAATATTTCACAATTTTGCTGATTTTTTTAATTAAACACTACATTTTGATGCAGCCTTGGTGAGCTCAAGGAACTCAAACACAATAAAAAAAGTCTTACCCCAAACTTTTAAACTGTAGTGTACATGAATACATAGGCTGGACTTTATTCTACTTCCCTCACACACCATGATAAAATACACTTTCTGATGTTCTGTAATTAGACAAATATAGTAATAAAGGAAGTATGGAAACATGATATACCACATCTGCAAGCACAAGAAAAGAGAAAGAAACTTCCCAGAGAGAGAAAAACATATCTAGACTAAGAGTGGTTTAACAAAGAAAATTAGGAAACAAAAGCAAAAAAAAAGGAAATGAAAGGATACAAGTAACTTCCCAATGTAATACAACACAGACTCCCCAACGCAAATACTAGAACATAATACATGGAATTCACTAGATGACAGTGTGATTTACTGTGGTAATTTGGATAATTACTCGTGTGTATATATATATATATATATATATATATATAACAAATAATGTTGTGCTAATGCAGTCAAAAGTCATTTTGGACAAAAAATATCTGCCAAATGCATTAAAATGCAAAAGCCTTGGTGAGATTTGACATGTCATTCAATATGGGACAGTTCTTCGAAGCGAGAAAAAAAAAAAAAACTCAAGCCTCAGGGACTGTGGAAACATTTTTGACTATACGTTTTTCTAGAGAAGGAGGTAATGAAATGTGAAGCTGAAAAATGTAGTTTTGTGGTCTCTAAACATGTAATCCTGCTTTGTCTTCTTGTGAGGCTAACAGGGACAAAACGTAATATCATTAGCATATGTTTTCAAATCTCAGCTCTCACAAATCCGTTATAATTAAGCATATGATTTATGCCAAAGGCCACTTTATACTTTTCTAAAGGCCAAAAAAGATGTTTGGATTAAATTACGTGTTATAAAAAAATAATAATAATAAATTGTGTTTTATATATATATAATATATATATATATATATATATATATATATTGTGAGAAGTACTTTTTGGTGCTTGGAAATAAAAGAGAGAAGGTAGAAATGGGGATAGCATGGATTTAGTTTTTGGATTTGCTACAGTCTACAACCACTTAAAAAAAAGGAGGCTATACGCTGATGACGATGGACATTTTGGTGTGGAGTGTTTTGGCTGTCGCTTACACAAACACTAACAAGCACAGATCGACCACAATGCGAGAGAGCGCTTCTGCCTTCAAGACACACAGACATTTCTGCATGCACACACACAGTAATATCCAGCCACCCAAACACTTGCATAACACTGTCTGATCCCGGTTTTGGGACACTGCAGCATGCCAAACACAGCACTGATGCAGCAGGGTGAAACAGAGGTCCTTGTCTGTCTGTCTCTCTGTCTGCCTGGTGGGAAGGAAGTCGACGTCTCGTCTGATAACTCTTTTTTAAAACCAAAAGCTGTCAGTGAAAGCAGGTCAGCGCCATTTCCTTCAGTGAGATGAAAGTTGTATATGTTGAATGAGATGAACTGGATCATATGACGTTTTTCAAAAAGGCAATAACATCGATAACATCAACAATAACATCTCCTCAATAACAAACAATAAAAAACTGTTGTTTTACCCACCCAATAGTCTAGGATTACAAAGCCGACTGCAGACTGACCTTTTCCTGTGAGTGTGCTAGAGTGTTTTTGGCAGTGAGAAAGGCACGTAATAGAGTGCATGCATTAAGCAGTTAGTTCTGGCCATCAAAGTGATCAAACCCTGAGATAACTAATCCACAAGAACAGCGTTTAAAACGTGGTTAAACAACTGTATCAAAGCCTTCATATTGTCTGCAGGGTAGACTATAGCACAATCATATTGCAATAAGTTTAATGATCAAATTGATTGCAGTTTGAACACAAGGTGACATCTCAATGCTGAAAGAACATCGCTGTCAATAGTGTTGGGAGAAAAAAATTGATTATAATGCAACACATTTCCTTAAATGATCTTTAGCACTTATGAGAAAGAGGGAGAGAAGAAACAAGATGAATGGAGTAAAGAAAGAAAGAAGATATTCATCAAGGAAATCATTCTGGGAAATTAAGTGTTCTTCCACCCTGCCCCATAAAACAAAATAAATTTATTAAATACGTATCAATTAAATACACATTTCTAGGTGACATTTCAATAATATCTGTCTTTCTGTAAGGCCTGTAAACCAGTGTTTGTCAACCAGGGGCCTCAGCAATTTTTCAAGGGGGCCACAGGATGACTTAAACTTTAAAATTAAAATTCTAAACACACACACACACACACACACTAAATCAAGATGAAAACTGAACCACCGCTATAAACCCTTCGAACTTCAAGATTCAAACAAAGCTTTGACTATCATTCAAATGCAAAAATTACATTTACTGAAATTTAAATTAATGAATCATTTAAATTAATTAATTTCTTTGAATATTAGTCATAAAAATTCTACTTACATTACATTCAAATTCCAACTGGAATTCAACATCCTGTTTGCTACTGTACCGTAATTTGCTACCAAATTCACTAATTTGCCACCAAATTCAACTGAATTTGATTCTGAATTGCACACAACCCTGCATTGCGGTAATAGAAGCATTCAAAATAGGTTTGATCTAAATTTTACACAAAACTGAATAAAAAATGCAAAATAACCATTTTTATTTTCAAGGTAGCACTCAGATGCAATGTAATAGGCCATTTGACAACAATATAGCATACAATTTAGCATACTAATGTTTAAAAAGTTGTATTGTTGCAATATGCCTTCACTTACTATTTAAAACAAACAGCATAATGCACAGGACGCAGTGTCTCGTTCCCTACTCAGGGAACCATGGTTACATAAGTAACCTGAGACGTTTGTCTTTCAAACCTGTGTGGTGCATCTGAAGTGGCTCCATCCTGTGGCTGTGGAAGTTCACTACACAAAGATCTCTACACCCTCTTGACAAAAAAATCTAAATTCTGACCTGGCTCTTCCCCCACCCCCTCATATGATCCCTCCCCCTCTCTTTTCTTGCTGACTGCTGCATTGTGGGTCTCTGTAGCATTATGCTGGCAGAGTGTATACAAGCTTGCTGACACATGCAAAGCGGCACAGCCAAACACCCTGACAAATCTGCACACAGCATCACACGCACGCATACAACAGCCTGGATTAATCTTTTTCATGTTGCATAAATGCTGATGTGCTTTCAGTGACTGCAGATCTTAAGGAAACTAGTCTGTCTAGCACTTCTTACTGTTCATAGTAGGCTCATTCCACCCTATAATTACTAGTAGTTAGTGCTTTGTAAATATCACACGGACAGCTGACAACTGACATGTTTAGAGAAAACCATTTATTACAACAAAACTTTGTTGTAAGTATGTATCTTTAATTGCATGTTGTCTCACAACCAGTCACAGACCTAAAATGCACACCACAGTAACATTTACCAGTTCATTATGAATTAGACAGCCAAAAAAATAAAAAATTCACGTTTCAGTGATGGAGTCAGTTGTGAGCTAATACCTTTAAACGATTCGCTGAGTAAGTGAGTCTGGCCCTGTGTACACCTGGTATTAAGATGCATTTTGGTCGATCGGATCACAAGAGGACAAGGAAGACAAATTCCTGTTTTGCGCTTAGCTGGTCTTTTAATCCATCTCTTTTGTGCACTTGTGACCGCTTCTGTCCTGATTATTTTGAAGAGGTCAAAAGTGGACAAGCTCAAAACATTTTATACCCAGTTTATACCTGTATTTATTGTTGTCTACTTGTGATTGGATCAACGCAAATGCATTTTAATAGCAGGTATAAACAGGGCCTCTTCACTATCAGCACGTGAATTATGAATGATTAATTCAAACAGCATATTTGAGTAACAGGACGTGTGTGACTAAGCACAGGTGTGTGTGTGTGTGTGTGCCTTTGGATTTAAAGAGATAACAGTGATGGTAGAGGAAGGGAATGCAAAAATATGGGCGTCAGTGATAAGACTGGCAGCTAGAGAATGCATGTGCTGAGCATGTCTGCATGTTTTGCATGTATACAGGGCGCACATGCTTACACGCACCATATATTTTTATATACATACAGTACTGTTCAAAAGTTTGGGTCAGTAAGAAATTAATAATTATATTCAGAAAGGATGCATTAAACTAATCAGAAGTGAAAGTACACTTTTAAATTGTTACCAAAAAATACTATTTCAAATAAATGCTGTTCTTTTGAACTTTCCATTAATCATAGAATCCTGAAAAAAAGTATCACTGTTTCCACAAAAAGTATTAAGCAGTACAACTGTTTTCAACATTGATAATAATATGAAGTGTTACTTGAGCACCAAATCAGCATATTAGCATGATTTCTGAAGGATCATGTGACACTAAAGACTGGAGTAATGGCTGCTGGAAATTCAGCTTTGTCATCACAGAAAATTTGCCATCATAGACTAGTAATAGTATTTTACAATATTCATGTTTTTACTGTATTTTTGACCAAATAAATACAGCCTATTGAAGAGGTTTCTTTCTTTCTTTCTTTTTGAAACTCTGTATGTTACATTGTATACTTACATGTGCAATTGTCATCTAAATATGTATACATGCTGCCTGAGGCTGATCTACAATCACACAATCTACGTCTGTTAGTCCAATTAAGCATTTATATGACATTTTAAAGAGACAAATTATTATTTTTTTAGTCTGACAAATTTTTTTTGAAGTGCATTTAAATATACTTTTTCCATCTCTGTGTGTTTGCAATAAAACTGCAATAAATGCAAATACATAAGCCAACACGATTAGACAGCAAGCAAATAATATTTTACTATGTAAATGAATTTACAAACGTTTAGAAGAGTTGTACAAATGTTTATTCCTAATTCGTATTGTGCATTATATGATGAGCTATGATGGTTCCACTTTCAAAGCTCTAAACTGGAAAGATACATATTGCTAGACAGATAACATCTCTGAGGAATGAGGGTCTTCGTGATGTTGAGGGTTTCTCCACGCTCTGAGATCTGTCATAGTCTAGCTGGAGTTTGCTTTGGAGGAATTACAGGGTATGGCTTCTCAAGAGCCATTGTTTACAGAAACACGCAGATCAAATGAACATGGGGCTCTGGTGGCCAGTTATGGGTGTGTTACATGTTTGGTCTCAGTGTGAGCTGGAGCTTATGAATGTGTGTTTGTGTGAATAGAGTAACAAGACACAACAGAGCAGAGTTCCAAAGAGGGGGAGATAAGAGGAAGCATGTGGGGCCAGACAGGGAACTGGCTGAGGAGAGGCTCCTTATGTATATCAGAGAGAGACAGAGCATATAAGAGAGCACTGACATTTATTAATCGGGATGTGAGAGAGTTATAAAGAAAAAACTGGGTTATAGGATTGCAAATGAAACTTCTGTATGGTCACTTCAGTGTATACACAAGTGTAATAACGTGCGGAAATCTTGTTTAACTTGTAACTTGTAGGAATAAATTACATTTTAAAATATATTACAATAAAAAAAGTTATTTTAAATAATAATATTTCACAATATTACTGTTTTTACTGTATTTTTGATCAAATTAATTATTGGTGAGCACAAGAGACTTCACATTCAAAGACATTTTAAAAATCTTACATTTTACAACCTCAAAGTTCTGAACAGCATGTAAAGTTACATATAATTTATGCACAAAAATCTGCTAAATCCTTACCAATTGAAAGAATGTACACAAGTCTTTAAAAAGAGAAATGGAAATGTATGCTAATTAAATACAAATAAACAGAGGTGAACTTATTACTGTAGAGTTACTGTAAAGGACTCTTAGGAGTCTCATCTGAACATCTCAGATTTATATAGTCTCAAAAGCACTAATTCTGTCCCATCGTGCAGACAAGCACGTGAGTTTAAAATATTCTAGCTGAGCCCCCAGCATGAGTTTTTTTAGGCGACCGTTATTTTAGAACGTATTGCCTTGTTTCCATGGCGACGCGTCATGCTTGTCATGTGACACACCGCAGTCACAATAGTGCTGTATGACACATGAATCGCTTTTATTTGGTTTTTCCTTTTTTATTCAAAATATTCACAAACATGCTCACTATATTATGAAATATCTGATATTCCGATTTTGAAATATGTGCAAGTAAATGTATTTGGTAGTTTAAACACATTTATAATGACCGTGTTAGCTGATCTACACCGGGTGATGGGCGCCGCCATGTTAGTTCGCGCTGAATCCTAGCTGTGGGATTTACAACACGCAAATTCATCCTCTCCTCCCGAAACACGTTAAAGTAAGTCTCTGGTGAACTGGGAGAAAAATAGAGTAACTTTATTGTTACCTACACTTTGTGTATATGATATCAATAAAACATTTCGTCAGATTATATTTGTAATGACCATTATTGCCGTTTCCATAGACATTAGCGTGTATTTTTACAAACTATAAATGTATGGTTTTGCTAGTACTTATGTGTATTTAAATGTCTGGAACCTAAAATAAGCATTATATGGTTGAACCATAGACTGTTTAAAAACAGGGTTGAACACACTGGATAGTTGTGATAATATGACTCGATCTGGCTCCGCGAATTCAGGAGTTGATGACGTGACGCACTGAACGTTCTAATCACACCGGTGTGATCGTACGCGTCAAAGGGTTAATAATAACAATACAGCTGTTGTATCTCTATTAGATCTAAATTGGGCATGCCAACCTCTGACCCTGAGTGAAGAGCTGAGAAAGGGCGGCTGGGTGTCTGTAACCGCAGCTGTGTTACATAAACACACCATAAACTGTCTGTCACAGGTGTGCCCGAAGACCTCATCACAGGCACGGTGGAGCCTTACTCTGTCCTTAAAGGGATAGTTCACCCAAAACTGAAAATTTGATGTTTATCTGCTTACCCCCAGGGCATCCAAGATGTAGGTGACTTTGTTTCTTCAGTAGAACACAAATTATGATTTTTAAGTCCAACCGTTGCAGTCTATCAGACGACACATTGATGTCCTAAGACACGAAACGATCGGTTTGTGCCAGAAACCGAACAGTATTTATATCATTTTTTACCTCTAATACACCACTATGTCCAACTGCTTTGGGCACGCGCATGGCATCTGGTGCGTGAGGTGTGTACGCACTCTGGTGTAGTTTACGCAAGCTTCGGCTGGATATCAACACACCCATTAACATAAACTATGCCAGAGCGCGTACACACCTCACGCACCGGATGCCATGTTGGCAAAGGGATCTCATTATAATATTACCGCCCCTTAATCTGTAAGTTTCCACCCAAGGCGCCATCATTTTGATTTTGCAAGCGACAACAGTGTACCAGATCTAAAGAAATGGTGAAAGTTTGAGCAAAACATGCTAAATGTTCTGTCATTGTCTGCACAGACGAGCACAAAACACTATTTAGAGTCCCAGCCTCAGAGGAGACAAGAGAGCAGTGGATTTATTGATATACAGTATTTACTGTATATTGCTGCTGCCACACAGATCTAAAATAAAAATGCAATTTATTTAACAATATCGTGCATATTCATTACCGTGATATATCACATTACCGAATACTGGCACAAGTCTAACTACAAGCACTTTTTTTTTTCATTTTTATCACATAATAAGGCAGAATAGTTTCTGTAGCCTACTGTAATAAATTCTATGTCAAGTAGCCCTGAATTGTTCATATACTTTATTTATTACCTGGAGATGATTTAAAAAAGCACCAATAAAACCATATATGTGACCCTGGACCACAAAACCAGTCTTATGTAGCTGGGGTATATTTGTATCAATAACCAAAAATACATTGTATGGGTCAAAATTATTGATTTTTCTTTTATGCCAAAAATCATTAGGATATTAAGTAAAGATCATGTTCCATGAAGATATTTTATAAATTTCCTACTGTAAATATATTAAAACTTAATTTTTGATTAGTAATATGCATTGCTAAGAGTTTCATTTGGACAACTTTAAAGACGACTTTCTCAATATTTAGATTTTTTTGCACCCTCAGATTCCAGATTTTCAAATAGTTGTATTTCGACCAAATATTGTCCTATCATAACAAACTAAACATAAATGGAAAGCTTATTTATTCAGCTTTCAGATGATGTATAAATCTCAATTTAGAAAAATGTACCCTTATGACTGGTTTTGTGGTCCAGGGTCACATATTGTCACAATCGTGTGTTTAATGTCTTCATGTTTCCAAAGGTTTCTGCCTTTTATTCAGATCATACAATGATAGCTGGACACTTTTGTCCATGGCTGCATCCGAAAACGTAGGCAGCTGACTTGCTGCCTCGCTCCCGTATGAGGCAATGACTTTGCAGGCAACGTTTTTGCACGAAGGCACCTCATGAAACTGATTTCGTACAGGCTTCTGAGGCAGAGTAACGGTTTAATGATCTACAGCAAAATATAGAGAGCTTTGGTGATAACTAAGTGTATATTTCATTACTGCAATATTAATTTCTCGCTAGAAATGACATCAAAAGTGGAAAACGTTGATCAAAAACGTACATTTACACACAAACTGACCACCGACCGCAACTTTCAGACGCCATCTTTATTTTTTAGCTTAACTGTCACAGAATGGAATGCACAGGATTGTGGGATATCAAATGCAGCGAAGGTATACATCTATGCTGCCTTCAAAAATCGGCCAGATGAAGGCATCTCAGGAGA